CCAAGTTTTCTTTACTACAATCATTTGACCATTTGCCAATAGAACCACACAGAAATCCATCGATTCATTCTTTGGTTTTTCCTTAACTGATAAATGTACGTCAAGAGTAATTTCATTTTCGTTGTTCTTGTCATCACGTGCGATGGGATCGACGAGGCCGAGATCATTTTCATTAATAGAAACTTCAATGGCATCCGTATCAAAGTTTTTGTTTCTTGATTGATTGATGTCATCAATTAAATTGTGCTGGTTTTCTATGTTATTGAGTGGTAAACTTTCCCCTTGGACATTATTTGCATTTTCACAATTTTCTCCAAGCACACCAACACCATTTACCAAATCTTCGCACAAATCTAGTGTTTCCACCACATTTGGCTGATTAAACCGCTTATAAACATTTGGAATTCTTCGTGGCCGTTCATGTAGCCACTGGTCGGCAGCTTCAAGTGTTTCTATTGCAAAATAAATAAAAATTTATTTGGTAAATCTAACAAAATAAATATGTGAACATTTAAATGCTTGCTGATTTAAATAAAATTAAAATAATACCGAAATGTTTATAAATACGCCCGATATAGCACGCTGTTTCATTGACATGAAAGAAATGTGAAGTTTCAATTTCAAAGTTGGCTTTATCCTTTGCATTGGGTGAATGAAAAATGCGCGATTCTTCGCCTAAAATCGGTATTTCTACCCACGAACCACGAACCGAGATCAATTTGTTACTTTTTAAAATAACCACAAATGCCGGCATTTTTTTTATATTGAATTGTTTGATATATATAACTGAATTAAAATCTATGACATGATCTTACTTGAACATAAGAAAAAATGTAACACAGCTGAAACGTTGCACTAAACTGTCAATTGTGGTTTTTTGAGCGGTTAAAATATCATTAACGCGTCAAAAACTTACAGCACGATCCAAGTATGCGACAGTTATTATAGCACAGTCGTTGTTGTGACATTGAGAAAATTAAGAAGAATCATCATCACGTTAAGTACATTAAAGTCTTTAAATAAGATTATTTTCTTTCGGTTTTATGAAATTGATTATTTGAAATTTGTTTTATATTTAAATATACTTCCAAAATGCAAGGTTTGTTATTATTTTTAAAGTGTGCAAATTAGATTGTTGTGATGCTCTAATATATATATTTCTCCAAATTGATTCAGTTGATTATCGGTTCAGAGGAAATATAGCTTTGGAAATGAAAAGGTCAACTTCATCATCGCATAAATGTTGCTATCCATCATGTAGAGCAAATGTAGATCTCGGCAGAATCCCAAGGCAAAACCGTTTTGAAGTATTGAGGAACTTTAAATTTTTCATATTGGATGTTGCAAAAGTATGTCCAAATCATTTGAATGTTGATGCCTGGACAAATGTGAATCAAGTGGCTACTGTGAACACTTTTAGTAACGAACAAATAAATCGAATAATCGAAATATTAGGCGAGCCAAACCCACGAAATGAGCAAAATGTGTCTTCTGGTGAATATTTTTTTAAATCTTTTTTTTTCCATGGATTGTACTTATTCCTTAACAGGAACGTAAATAGCAGCCGGTGTATATTTGTATGAGATTGGAGACTTTTTTTTGCGAATCTCGCTAATGAGCGCCATCTGATTTTAGTGTGAATTAGATGCAAAAACTGAATTTAATTCTGTAGCATTGAAATGAAAAAGTGAAAAAACAACAACAATAGCACGGCCACACAGAGCTGTACATCTATGCGTGCTGATGCATACATACACATATACGCTTTCTTCATTCTTTCATTCCATTGCTATACGTATCTCACTGGTCAACAGATCTATGTAGCCATGTTACTGTTGTTGTTTTTTTTCTCTTTTTCGATTCAATTCATTGTAACTAAATTGAGTTCAACTATGGAATACAAGATGGCACAGATGAGGGGAATTCGCATTTTGTCTCTTCATAGGCTTAGCCGGTTGGTAAATAGAAACATTTTCTATAAAATTTTCTATATATTTTCAGATATAAATCCGAAATTAATGGATTTGTGCAAACGCAATACAGGCCTAACAAAAGAAATTTTTATAGATTTATTTAATTCGCTGCCAAGTGTTAACCAGTATTTCAAAAATCGAAGAACAGCAGCTTCTGCATTGTATATTTACCTCATGAAAATGCGAACAGGTTTGCCAAATGAAGACATTGGACATGTATTCCATGTCACTCTGCAGACGGTTTCAAATCTTATTTCGAAGAGTCGTCAAGTGTTGCACCAAGATCTTGTTCCACAATATGTAAATTTTATTCGAAATCGGGAAGAACTCATCGAACACAACATACAGATGAGCAATTCCATAATGGATTCTGAGAAAAAAGGGAAAGTTATGTTAATATGTGATGCCACTTACATATTTATTGACAAGAGTCGAAATTATATGCACCAAAAAATAACTTTCAGTGGACAGAAGAAACGAAATTTCATCAAAATCATGAATATTACTGCATGTGACGGTACTATTGTCTTCTGCATCGCACCATTTCCAGCTGTACTGAATGATGCTAGCATACTCAAGAATTTGTTGGAGAAAACCATTATATTTGACAACCTATTAGAGGGCGATATATTATTGTTAGACAGAGGTTTTCGTGATGTGGTTCCAGCTATTGAAGCTAAAGGATTAGTTGCCAAAATGCCTTCATTGGTGCAGCGAGCAGTACGCAAAGGACAACTATCTACTGAAGATGCCAACAGATCTCGGCTTGTTACCGCACTTCGTTTTATGGTGGAAGTACGAAATGGACATTTGAAAATTATTTGGAAAAAATTCAATCAAATCTGGACATCATACGCACAAGTAAATATAGCTCAAGATGCAGAGATATGTTCGGCTCTGATTAATAAATACAGGAAAACATTTGAGTCAAATCGAGGTTGTGCAATAGATGTGGCCAATAGAATGCTTGCAAAACTGGATCAAGTAAACGAAGTGGGTAATGTTATTACAAATGAAAATTTCAAGCAACATATAAAGAAGTTTACTCGGTTCAATGCCTTTAATACGATTCCCACTTTGACTAAAGATGAATTATTTTGGATTTCACTTGGTGGATATGCGATAAAGCAAGCCGAATCTTATACGCAAATGCATATCAAACAAAATAACGATCAATTTATTGTTTTTGTTTGTCCACAAAATATTTGTAACTCATCATTTCCATCATTTGCCGGACCAAACAAAGACTTGATGCTATTCATGATAAAATTGAAATCTCGTTTTCGAAGCAATACTACTCACAAAACATTTGTTTTAATTGATCGTAACGTTGTTGATCATAAATCCGTACTTGGGCATTATTGTGAGTGCTATAATGGTTGGCGAACATTGGGGTGTTGCTCTCACATCATGACTTTAGTCGCATTTTTACTTGTAACAAAAGGACAGAATTTGGCAAATCCGGCAGCTTTTTTGAATAATCTGTTCAATTTGTTTGATGACGAATAACAATAATCACAGAAGATCTCGGCTTGAAAAAAATTATGTAAATAATATATATGTAGTAATGGAATGAATAAAATGTTACACTCTAAATTAACCATACCTTTCAATCTTCATTATTCCAATTATCCTTAAGAAAACACGAAAAGAAAAGTCAAACCAGATCATCTAACGATTACTAAAAAATATGAAAATACACAAAGTATCGAGAACAAATGGAAAACATATTTTTTGAACTTATCTAAAAATGAGTGATTTCCTTGTATATATCAATTTTGTTTGCGAGAATTAGCATTAAAACACTCCATCCAAAAGTGTATATAAAACTATTTTCAACAAATAACTTTAATTAATTTTCTATTTCTTTTAGTATTCTCACAAAAATTGTGAATTCCCAATGTTATATTAAATTGTATTTATTTATTTTATTATAATAAACACAGTTCACAGTGGTTGACAGTCACACATACGCACCATTACTCATGAATATCAACAAAAGTCACTTTGACACTTTGACAATACAATGGTGCTCTCTCACACAAACACACGCAGTAATTGCAAAACGTCATAATCAACGTAAAGCAAATGTACTGTATTAAGTGTCTCAACTTATAAAAGTTATTTTAAAAACCAAATATATACAGAAAAACTCTGTAAAAAAGATCTCGGCTCTGGCATTTTGCTGCACTTATTGCATATTTTAAATAAAAAAAATGGTGTTTGTTGAAAGAGTCATTCCATTGAATACTGCAGCAAAAAAAAAACATAATTGTGTGTCGCCGCTTAGAGCAATGTGATGATATAAATGACCTACGCACAAAACTGGAGAATGATTTGACAACATCTGTAGATGAACGACATTTAAAACAAAATATCGTTTATGGTTTGCGTAAAATTGGCCACAGGTATTGGTCACGGGCAACCGTTAAGTTTATTCGAAAAGATGACCATGTCCCGGTATTACAAAAATTAGATGAGAATGGAACCATTGACTTTGATCCAACCAAAATGCAAGTGCGTAAAATTCAAAACGATGCCTTGAAAAACCAAGAATTGGGTCTATTGTTGTTTATATACGCCGTTGGCGTGTATGATTTTGATAGCGAGTTTACTTTAATTTTTGAAGAAATGCTCAAAAATAAAAATGTTACTGCCGTTTTCAATCTATTGGAGGCTAAACCGAATAAAATACACGAATGTTATATCGGTGATTTTTTGTGTGAATTCAGAGGAAAATTTTTATCGTTTCGAGAAATTTTAATTAGTCAAAAAATCACATACCCTTCACGTGTACAAGAGAACTTGAACCAGAAAATTTTCCAATCCCGTGCCGAAATTTTAGCAGGTCGGAATGAAGTAAATTCAATTTTGACAGCACACAATAAGAGCAAAGTGACTGAACCAAACGTGCCAAACGAGCCGTATGAACCTATCTACATACTTGGTGGTCGATTTCACATTCTAGAAATCGTTGGCGAAGGATCAGTTAGTTTTTCATTTTTATTTTGTTTTCAGCTTTAATTTAACAATGATTACGATAATCTAAAATGTTTAACATTTAATTTTACAGTATGGTATTGTTGCAAAGGGCCGAGATCAAAAAACGGAAGAAATTATTGCCATTAAAATGTTCAAACATAGTTTATTTGGATTTGATTCGAAGAAAACGGAAAATCTAAACGAGGCTAAACTTCTTCAAAGCATCAATCACACTAATGTCATAGAATTGATTGACGTTATTGATGACATCGATGGATTATGTTTAATTTTCCCGTTCGTTGGACAAGTAAAAATTTGTGATCTCGGTTTATCGGTTGAATTTGCCTCAAATGAATATTTTATGGAAATATGTGGTACGCGCTCATATATGGCACCTGAAATTTTTCTCAAATATGGATATAATCATATGATAGACATATGGGTAACTTTCTTTCTAAAAGCAATTCCAAAGCAAGTTCCTCTTTGAATAACAGAGTTTTTTTTTGCGTTCTTTTTTACATAGGCCACCGGTTGTATCGTAGCTGAAATGAAATTAAAAGACATTTTCATTCCACGCGCCATTTCTAATAAAGAGCAGCTCATTAATATTTTCAAAGTACTTGGAACACCGACTGAGTCAGAATGGTCTGCTTACAACTGGTCATGGCGGTTTGGCCAATACAAAGGAAAACAATTGGAAAATAAGTTTGACATTGAACTTTTGGATTTTCTCAACAGTATGATTCGTTACAATCCATCTAAACGTTCTACGGCTGGGGATCTTCTGAAACATCAATTTATTGTTCGACTTTGAGTTTATACTAAACTAAAATGGATGGAATTTATTCTAAAAATTATTAATTTTCACTAAGAACTTATATTTTGAGATAGAAATGATTTAATTAAAAAAATGTAAATGTATCGAATTCGGTTTACCCGGGCTTACCACAACAATTCACATCAAATATTAAAATGAACATTAATTATATGACATTTTTTTATTAAACTTTCTTTGTACCAATATTTTTATTATTATATCTTTATGATACATCAAACAAATGAAAGTAGAGATCTCGGCCTAAAAAATTAGCCTTAAATATTTTGAATTTTGTTATAGCTCTTCATGCTCATGCTTCGTCATTGATGTTTCGTACATATGATTTGCGCTGCATATAAATAAAAAACAAAGTACATATAGAATATATTATTTTTGGAATAATAGATTATTTTACTATGAGTAAACCGGTCGGTGTTGTGTGATCACCAGTCACATTCTTGTTTGAATAATTTGCATCCAATTTCAGGTCATAGGTTCGTCGAACCATCACAGAAACTGGTTGATTTTGTGGAATTTTATTCACAACTTCGTTGGTATTTGTTGTCATATCGACTTCACGCTGCAAAATTAAAAAAATATACGTATACATAAAATATATTAAATATTTTTGGACTAAAAGATTTAAATTATACCCGGAGTAAATCAGTTGATGTTGTAAATCCAGTTACATTCTTGTTTGAAGCATTTGCAAGTGATTTCGGTGCATAGTGCCGTCGAATCATTCGGGAAACTGATTGATTTTTGTGACCGGGATCTGTTATTTTATTCACGCCTTCTCCAAGACTACTTCTTTGATAAATTGCAGTTTTTTGGCATGCATTGATATTTGTTGGCATATAGAATTTGCGCTGAAAAATTACAAAACAAAAACATATATAAGATATTTTAAGTCTTTTGGAACGAGAAATTCAATTTATACTATGAGTAAACCGCTTGATGTAGAATTCCCGTTCATATTCTCAGTTGAATCATTTTCAATGCATTTCAGTGGGTCGTTGGGTCGAATAACTCCAGAAATTGGTTGTTTCCCGTGCATATTTTCAATCACAGGCAACTACAAATACAAAGTTAAGATGAAGATAACAAAAATGTTAAAATAATACCACTCGGTTACCGTTTCCTTAAGCACATCAGTGAATAAATCATTCCGTTCTAAAGGTGCCACAGTTTCTTGTTCCATTTCTACACGATTGTGAACAACATCCACTTTGCTTGCATTACCCATAACCTTTTCTGGTATATTTTCTTTGTCAAGATCTCGGCTCTTATTTGTGTCTTCGGCCAAAAAATCATCGTCGCTCAGTTCAACTGATTCCACAATTTCTGGAAGTTGAAACACTTTCATGTGGCTATCCTCGTTGAAAATATATCTACGCGAACGCTTGTTAAGGAACATATTGCTTGCTTCTATGGAATCTGAAACGTTGTGGTTGTGTGTATGAAAAAACAAACATAGCAGAAAAGATTTTTACTAAAATTGTTCTTACCGAAACGCTTAACAATACGTCCTTCGTAGCATGCTTTCGTGTTTTCGTTAAAAAAGTACGATGGTTTCATGTCAAAGTCTGGAATTTCTTGGTCATTCGGCGAATAAAAAATAATAGTCTTCTCGTCAATAATTGGATTTTTTACCCATGTATCTCGTACCGAGATCAATTTATTTTTATTTCTTAACACTACTAAAAATGCCGACATTTTGCTATTTATTTTATAGTAATTCTGTTTTTTTTCGATGATTTTTCACTGTATTTTTATATTTTATTATAATTTTATTCTCTCGTTGAAGGTTTAGTTTGAATATGCTATCGCAATGTCAAACAAACGTCAA